CATGTGAGGACACCACAAGAAGCCCCCCATGAGGCACAGGCCTTCACCAAACTCAGTTGCTCGTTCATTGCTCTTAGACTTCCCAGCCTCTAGAACAGTAAGAAAGAAATTCTGTTGTTAATGTATTATTCAATCTAAGATGTTTGTTAGAGCAGCAAGAGCAGACTAAGACAGCCATTCCTTAGATTTTCTCTTACTCCTCAAAAGTCAAATATGTCCGTGGTTAAAACCAAAGAAAATGGACTTTCATTCAAACTGAAAGCGGCAATAGCAGAGTGATCAGGAACGTGGGATGGAGTCAGACAGTTCTGGATTGAAATGCTGGCTCCAATCCTTGACTAAGGGAGTGAACTTGGACAACTTAGTGAAACTCTGGGCCTCTCTTTGCTCACTTGTAAAACAAGAATTATTAAACTCCTTCAAATACTGCCAGACAATTTAATAAGGAAAACAACACCTTGACAAAGTCTTAGTGGTGCCTCAGGAAACAGAAGTCAGCAATGGATATTTATAGTTTTGAGATCTGGGTTCAAGTAACCTTAAGAGTCTTTCAAGAAGGGAACTGACTGGAATTGGGCTAAGTTCATGATGTAAACTTAGCCCAGGATGGATGAAGGGAGGATCTTAAAGCAAATATCGAGTGAACTATGGCTTGATGAGAGTGAGCAATTTGCTTAGGGGGAGCAGATTGTTGTCTCAGATAAACCGATGAGCCATAATTTCCTGACACAAACAGAGAAGTTATTTGTAGGCTTACAGTCTTATCTATTCTAGGAAAAGTTTTCAGAAAAAGTAACTTAAGTCATATTGACACAGGCGGTCTGAGTTCTAAGTCCAAATAGCGATGTCATGTTGATGGCAGTTGTCACAGTTCTCAAGAGAATGAGCTCTACTTCCTGTGGTTGTTGTCAGGAGTAAATGACATAATGGTTCTATAGTCTCCGCCACACAGCAGGGACTAAATAAGATATTATTATTATCCATTTTAAGTATTTTGAAAGACTAAACAAATGTAGTAGGAAATTTTGATCTCTCTCAAATTTTTATTGTTTTTCATAAGTAATAAGCAAAGTAAATGGCTTTCAGCTTTCCTGGAGTTTGGGAACTACTAAGTTAATAAGGTTATAGTAGAATTTGCACTTATTGAGAAAAAAAAGTGAGGGGACAAAAGAAAAAAACAACTGAGGGCTCTTTTTCTTTGCTATGATGCTAGTTGTTTGCATATTTGAATTCCCCCAAGGACTTGGCAGTAATTCGCTCTGCATAAGCTGCACATCTTCAGGAAGAAAATAGCTCTTTTAAATGCAGAGAGGTTTCATGAGATGGTGTATCATATGGAAATACAATACCTTCTGGAGACTCAGGAGTCTCTGTTCATTCAGTCGGCATATTCTCAGTTGAATCAGTAAAAATTTTAATAAGAGAAAGCTACATTTCTTCAGTCTCTGAATATACAAAGCCCAGAGGAATTTCTTGCGTATTTGTACACTTGAGTGTTTGACTTCAGAATCTTCAGAAGGCAGCTGAGACTTATTCTCAGGAATAGAAGGCAACATGGTCAGCTGCCTGTTTGACTCTAAAGGCAGTGCTCATTCAATGCCTCCACCCCCAGCTTTCTCCACTGAACCCTGCAGCAGCATTCTGAAGACTGCAGGAGGGACCACCCTGGTTTTGCCCTCTTCACTCCAGGGAATCTGAAATTCCTTCACCCGATTTTCCCATCTCTAAAAGATAGACAAAAAGTGCATGCACTCTTCATGTTTTGATATGTCATTAAAATAAATAAAATAATCCAAACTATTTAGAAGAAAATTATTAACAAATAATAATTGTGTATATTTATGGGGTACAATGTGATTTTTTATACACTGAGGGATGATAAAATCAAGCTAATTAACGTATCCAGCACCTCACCTACTTATCTTTTTTTTCTAGTGAGAACATTTAAAATCTACTCTTAGCAATTTTGAAATATACAGTAAGTTATTATTAACTATGGTCACCATGCTGTGCACTAAAATTTATTCTTCCTGTCTAACTCAAACTTTGCACCCTTTGACCAACATCTCCCCTTTCCCCATTCCCACCCTGTGCTCCCATCCTTGAGTAACCATCATTCTATTCTGTCCTTCTGTAGGTTCCACTTTTGGATTCCACATGTAAGTGAAATCATGGAGTATTTGTCTCTCTGTGCTTGGCTTATTTCACTTAACATAATGTCCTCCAGGTTTATCTATGACGTCGCAAATAACAGAATTTCTTTTTCTTTTTATTTATTTTAATTATTATACTTTAAGTTCTATACATGTGCCATTGTGGTTTGCTGCATCCATTATCCTGTTATCTACATTAGGTATTTCTCCTAATGCTATACCTTCTTTATCCCCCCACCTCTTGCTATCCCTCCCCTGGCCCCCTACTCCCTGACAGGCCGCGGTGTGTGATGTTCCCCTCCCTGTGTCCATGTGTTCTCATTGTTCAACACCCACTTATGAGTGAGAACATGCAGTGTTTGGTTTTCTGTTCTTGTGTCAGTTTGCTGAGAATGATGGTTTCCAGCTTTATCCATGTCCCTGCAAAGGACATAAACTCATCCTTTTTTATGGCTGCATAGTATTCCATGGTGTATATGTGCCACATTTTCTTTATCCAGTCTATCACTGATGGGCATTTGGGTTGGTCCCAAGTCCTTGCTACTGTGAACAGTGTCACAATATGTGGCACATGCACAAACATATATGTGCATGTGTCTTTATAATAGAATGATTTATAATCCTTTGGGTATATACCCAGTAGTGGGATTGCTGGGTCAAATGGTATTTCTATTGCTAGATCTAGGAATCACCACACTGTCTTCCATAATGGTTGAACTAATTTACACTCTCACCAACAGTGTAAAAGCCTTCCTATTTCTCCACATCCTCTCCAGCACCTGTTGTCTCCTGATTTTTTTAATGATCACCATTCTAACAGGTGCGAGATGGTATCTCAATGTGGTTTTAATTTGCATTTCTCTAATGACTAGTGATGATGAGCTTTTTGTCATATATTTGTTGGCTACATAAACGTCTTCTTTTGAGAAGTGCCTGTTCAAATCCTTCACCCACTTTTTGATGGGGTTGTTTTATTTCTTGTAAATTTGTTTAAGCTCATTGTAGATTTTGGATATTAGCCTTTGTCAGATGGGTAGATTGTAAAAATTTTTTCTCATTCTTTTGGTTGCCAGTTCACTCTAATGATAGTTTATTTTGCTGTGCAGAAGCTCTTAAGTTTAATTAGATCCCATTTGTCTATTTTGGCTTTTGTTGCCATTGCTTTTGGTGTTTTAGTCATGAAGTCCTTGCCCATGCCTATGTCCTGAATGGTATTGCCTAGGTTTTCTTCTAGGGTTTTTATGGTGTTAGGTCTTATGTTTAAATCTTTAATCCATCTGGAGTTAATTTTTGTATAAGGTGTAAGGAAGGGATCCAGTTTCAGCTTTCTGCACATGGCTAGCCAGTTTTCCCAACACCATTTATTAAATAGGGAATGCTTTCTCCATTGCTTGTTTTTGTCAGAGGGTTGTAGAATTTCTTTCATTTTAAAGGGTGTCTAGTATTCCACTGTGTAAGCAATTCTTCATAATTCCAAGGTATCATTACTATGTGATAATAAAGGCAAGTGTATAAAGTAAAGGAAACTGTAGTGGGTCAAACTTACAAGAAAAATGCTGATCTAAATGTCTATGCAATACATAGACTGTGTTTTTAAAAATGCAACAGCATATAATATCCAAACCTGCTATGGTCTTGGGAACCAAGCAGTATAACACTTGGCTAATGACTAGATAAGATGATGTATAACAGACATTTATGTATATGCTTAATTAATCTGAACATTTACCCTACACGGTTATTGGTGTTATTAATTTGTTCAATTCATTAAAAGAGTTTCCTAAGCAAATGTGATTTTATTTCAGCACCTATTCTGAATCCCAAATATTTTTATATTCTGGCTTGATAACTGAGTGACTAAGAGGTTTCAGGGCCTTACTACTTGGCTTTGTATCCAGGCCTACCATTTTCTGGCTATGTTTACTTAGCCAGATTACATAACCTCTCTGTTACTCAATTTCCTCAATGATAAAATAAAAATAATAATCATCGTCACCTCATAGGGTAGTTAGGAGGACTGAATGTGTTAATTCTAATTAAGTAAAGAACAAAATGCATAGTATGTCACTTCTTATTTATGTTCTTGAAATTACCTGTAGGAATTTTACTATGTGACATTTACAGTGACATTGCCCTATGGGAATAATGCTATGTGAGAGAATTCTACAGTGGTTTTTGATATAGTTTGGATGTTGTCCCTGTCCAAATCACATATGGAAATGTAATCCCCAATGTTAAAGGTAGGGCCTGGTGGGAGGTGTTTGGATCATGGGGCAGCTTTCCCCCTTGGTACTGTGCTCGCCACAGTGTGTTCTTGTGAGATCTTGTTGTTTAAAATTGTGTGTCACTCCCACAACTTTTGCTCCTGCTCCTGCCACGTGAGATGCCTCACTCCCCCTTTACCTTCTGCCACAATTGGAAGCTTCCTGAGGCCTGCCCAGAAGCAGAAACCACTATGCTTCCCATATAACCTGCAGAATCATGAGTCAATTAACCCCCTTTTTTTTATAAATTACTCAGTCTCAGGCATTTTTTTATAGCAGTGAATGGACTAACACATTTTATTTCAAATTTATATCCTGTATAGCCTTGCATTATGAAAAGAGCACAGAACGGGAAGTTAGGACATCCTGCTTTAAGGTCTAGCACAGCCATCAACTATGTGATCTTGGGTGAGTCACTTCACCTCTCTGAACCTGTTTCCTCAAGAAAAATAAGGAGAGTAGGCTGTCTGCATGATCTCAAGACAACACAATGTGCTGGAATGAGTCTTACAGCAAGAGTTCAAAGTTCAAATTCTAATTCTAGAACTCGTTGAGTGTAAAATTCACAGCAAGTCACATAACCTCTTGGAACCCCAGTTTCTACATCTAGAAAAAGGGGCAGAATAGTATCAGAAATGCTTCACTCTCAGGACTATGGGGAGCATAAAATTAAATAATGAAAAAAAGGTCAACTATAAAGCACTAAGGAAAGGTAAGGAAATATTATTAAAATCTCATTTAGTTTAATATTTCTACTAAATCTTTTTATTTTCCTATAATCTTTTCCAAGTATTTGTTCTTCTGCAGGTAGAATTCTGTGGGTTGAAACCAGACTATAAAAAATCTGTTTGTTTTTTTTTCTGGCACTCAGACTATCTGCTATAAAGAATGTTTTCCCTTAGTTAAGGTAACAGCTATAAATGTTCAGTTTGCCCCTGAGTCATTATCTGAGTCATGAGTCTGTATGAGTCAAGAAATCTAAGAAATATAGAAATTATCTATCTGTCTCCTTTCTTTTCTTTGTATAAATATCTCTTAAGATGTAACCTAAGAAAGAACTTGCCTCTATCTTGGGTTTCTTCATATTTTGAAGAGACTGTTGTAGAGGAATCGAGTAGTGGGATATTATCTACAAGCATCTCTGCATATAACCTCTACACACACACACACACACACACACACACACACAATCAACACAACCTTATGCCTCAAGACAGATAGGGACTTTCTTGCCACTAGATCCCTATTAGTGCTATCCCCTCCACCTGAAATTCCCATTCCTCTAATTTCTACCTTTTCAATTATACCTAGAATTCAGGGTTTTGTTATAATCTTAAATTTTCAGTGAGATGGATTGAGTGGTCCTTCGCCCTGTGAATAATCTTTAAGGTCAATATTCCTTTTTTTGCAGATGGTGAATCTGACAGAGGAAGAATTAAATGACTTGTTCAAGGTCACCTTTAAGAAATTTGCAGAAAGTTTAACTTATGTATATTTTCCCCTGGTACCCCAGGTATATCTTTTCAAATCATCCTAGTCTGAACCAATTTACAACCCCCTCCTTACCCATCAGGTTCTCTTGTAACACGTATATACATGTTGCCTTGCACTGTAGTTCCTTGTGAATAGATTCCTCCCTCCCCAGAGAGTAGGTCCCACAGAAGAGTAACTATCTTATTCTCCAAATGCCTTAGAGCTTTTAGCACTGAGTATGTACCCAGGTATCACAAATTTTGTATTTGTCGAATTGAAGTGGAACATCTCAAGGATATTTTTCTGTTGCCTTTCTATGAATGAGCTCAGCTTTGTATGAGTCCACTTGGATTCTCACCTAAGGAAGATCATCTGGAAACACCAAAAGCACCAGTGTAGATGCAAGAGATGGTGAAGACCTGAGGCCTACCGCTGCCTTCTGCCAGCCCTGCAGTTCTGAAAGAATGAGGGCCCGTGGGCAATTGGGAGTGACATGTCCTTGACACATTGAGTTAGCTGTGCCCTGAAGGCCCAAAGTGATTTGAAGCATGATTTTAATGACTGTCATTATTTCTGTCATTACTACCGGCCAATAAAAACCATCATCAGCTTGATGTGATTATCCCTCGGTTGTGCAGTGCCTCTGCACTCCAGCAAGCAACAGAGCATATGGTCTTTGCCAATCACATTATTCATCAATGGAGGATAAAATTCACAGTAGCTCCCAGCTTGTCACAGTGGGGAATGGCTTTGGGCAAGTCACAGCTTCAACTCAGCTTGCATCTTTCAAAGATGTGGGCTCTTTTTCACAATGCCCTTCATAAAAGTGAAAATGAAACACATGCTGAATGGGATTTTTAGAACAATGAAAATCCTATAATTAGGAAGCAATAGGAAAAATTATATTATCCCTAAGAGCAAACCATAGTAACAAGTTAATGCAATTACTAATTCAGCTTTTTCAGAGATAGAAGCAAATTGTGCAATTAAATCCTTAGTCTACATTTTTTCAGGGGCCTAATGAAAGGAAAACAAATGACCTGGATCCCCTTCTTCCACCCTTGCCTCTGCTAAGCCATCAGAGGACAAGTTTCCCACCTCCCTCTCTCTAATTTCATCTGAAAACTAAAACAGGCCTCCAGCTGTAAAATGGCTTATGGATTACGCTCTACAACTGTGCACCTGGAATAGAAGGCGTCATTCTTTACGAAGGTTGCCGAGAATTTTGTATCACAGCTTCCTATTTATTCGTTAGCCTGCATATCCCACTTAACAGAAGATTCACCATGCACTGACTTGTATGTGACTCTCAGTGTGCACACTATGCACTGACTGTGACCTGTCTCTAGATGAGCACAGTACCAGTCTAACATATCACTTTACCTGTGGCTCTTTCCCATACACACCCAATCCACTACAGACACATGATCTACCCACGATCTCCCAAACACGGTCTTCACCGTCTGGTCACTGCTCCTTTACACGTGGCATTCACTCTGCTTGCAGAGGCATTTTAGCATGGATATCTAATGAAGGAATTACTCCCAGGCATGCATATAGGAGAGCACTGGTCTGACACCCTGACTGACAGTTCACTACTGCAAAAAGGACAGATGAGAAGGCAGCTCAGCTCTTTGATCCTAAGGAAAAAACACAGAACCTCACTTATCTATATGTAATTATAAACTTTAGTATCCAACAGTATCAAGCCAAAATAGTTCCTGTTTTGGACACACATTATTAGAAATTAACAATGACATTTAGTAAATGATTGACCCATTCCGAACACAGAATAGCCACCTCTGAGTAAGCATTTTGATCAATCTAACTCACACGTTTCTGGTTCAACAAAGTTACTAGATAAGAAGACCCAAAAGAGTTTGTAAATGGGATACAAATTTATGAACAGTTAATTTATATGCAAATACGACAAATTAACCTGTATTTCACTAATGTGCCACCAATCACAAGAGACGCCATCATTTAATCTCTCATAAAGAAGTGAAAAAACCCAATTAAACCATGACTTCATGCTTCCTTATTAGAAATTTTCATTTTTTATTATGCTGAATTTATATAAATACATATTTATTTAAACAACACAGGACCATAATATGAACATCTATGCCCAAGTTTCTGCATGCCCGGCAACCACTGCCACTCTGATAATGGTGACTGACACCATCAAGTGTAAGATGCATCCTGATTTAAGTTGTTCAGCTGTGACACAATGGGCACCTCAGCACTGATGAAATATGGTACCCGCCTGTCTCACATGAGTTTCTCATGCAACTAGCAGCCTCTCCTCACCTGACACCGGCTCTAGTCCCCAGTAATGAAACTGATCCTGTCTGTCCTAGGAGTCTTCTCCTCCTTGGTTTCCCACTTCCCTCACTGGGCTACTCAGTAACCAGTTAGTCGTTAAGGTTCGAGCCTTTTTTGTTTATTTTTTATTTTTTCCAAAGCTCCTCAACGATTGCAATTGTCACTTTGTTTCTACTATTATTGCCCTTGGCTTATTTATTATTTTTTTAAAGTTTCTTTTGTTTTTAAACAGGAAGGCTGGGTACTCATGCCTGTAATCCCAGTATTTTGGGAGGTGCAGGCGGGTGGATCACTTGAGGTCAGGAGTTCGAGACCAGCCTGGCCAACGTGGTGAAACCCTGTCTCTACTAAAAATACAAAAATTAGCCAGGCATGGGGGCACATGCCTATAATCCCAGCTACTAGTGGGGCTGAGGCAGGAGAATTGCTTGAATCTGGGAAGTAGAGGTTGCAGTGAACCAAGATCACAACACTGCACTCCAGCCTGGGTAACAGAGCAAGATCCTGTCCAAAAAAAACCAAAAACAAAAAATCTCAAGGCTGGGCACAGTGGCTCACACCTGTGATCCAGCACTTTGAGAGGTCAAGGTGGGTGGATCATCTGAGGTCAGGAATTGAAGACCAGCCTGGCCAACATGGTGACACCCTGTCTCTACTAAAAATACAAAAATCAGCTGTGCATGGTGGCACATACCTGTAATCCAAGCTACTTGGGAAGCTGAGGGAGAAGAATCATTTGAACCTGGGAGGTAGAGGTTGCAGTGAGCCGAGATTGCACCACTGCATTCCAGCCTAGGCGCAACAGAGTGAGGCTCCATCTAAAAAAAAAAAAAATCAAGAGAATCTTTCCTGTATCAATTAAAAACAGTAACTGCCCCTCTTCTCACTCAGGAGGACTTTATGTATTTAGAAAATAAAAAGATGTTATTATTTTAATACCTTTATAATTTTAGTACCATGTACATAACATGAAATTTACCATTTTAATCATTTTTATTACAACAAAATATTTTTAATTTTTCTGCTATTGTCATATATTTTACCTCCGTGCATGTTATAAACACCATGATACGTTGTTATTATTCCCCTCCAGCCCCACTGAGGCTTTTAGAGGTCTGCAATGAGTTAGGGTAGGAAAAAAACAGTGATCCCGTGTGGTAGTTCAAAGACTGCCTCTCCTTGGCTTACAGGAAGCCTCCTAAACCCACCTTTTCTATCAGCCTACATTTTCCCCCCAGTCTTTTAAAATTCTATTACAGATATACAGCAAGATCAAAGGGAACACCTTCTCCCTGGGGCTTTAGCTACTGACTGGAAGAGAAGCATAGAAATGGCTTTAACCCTTTCCTGTGGACATTACTAAGGTTATCCAATCATCTCATGACCACTTTGCCAGAGGGGGTGAGATCACCCCACCACATCCTCTACATGCACAGACACACACACCTTTCAGGCTTACTGTTACCTTATTATTTACTTTGTTTCACCTTTGAAGAAGCTGTTAATACTCATGCTAACCTGATTTCACCTGTATAAAAATGTTGAGGGACATGTGGGCATTCTGTGATTTGTCCTGATTCTAAATATCCCCGAGGGTGGTCCTGACCCACATAAAAACAAGTCTGCTTCAGAGCCAGCTTCAAAGCCTCCCTCCCTGACCCCCAAACCTCAGGTGATTGCACTCTTCTCTGGCCAGTGATGGTTCTTAGAGTCTGTTCTTCCTATTTGATATTTATATGCAATGGTGTGCTGGTAAATGTTTAGCACCTGGCTCTGGGGGCGGCCATGGGGGAGTCTGGGTTTGGCAAGTTTGTAGATTCAATTTCTGTGGTGTAAACACTCCCACCATGGCTATTTCAAGCCACCAGCATGATGTCACTGACCACAGTTGGGAAGGGATGCACAGTGACAAACTGTTATGTAGTATTTCCACCAAACACATATAATAGACAGAAATAACTTCAAGATCTGAGATAACAGTGAAAGGTAGTAAAACAACTAGAAAGTGATGAGTTTTGACTATTTATTACCTTTGTTAATAGTATACTTTATTTAATTATAACTTTATATAATTTAATTTCTAGTAATGGCTGTGTTTAATAACCAGCTCACAAAACTGGAAAACTTAGCAACTGGCCTTTGCAAGCCAGTATGAGAACTCCAGCCCATAACAGTAATAAAGTATATGCTATCTTGTATCATTATTTTAAATCTTGAAAGTCCCCAACTAAATTACACACTTCAGACTATGAAGTTATGTCTTAAATACTTCTTTTCACTTACCATGCTGCTAAACACAAATAGATAATTAACTTTTTTTTTTTAATGGAATCTTGCTCTGTTGCCCAGGCTAGAGTGCAGTGGTATGATCTTGGCCCACCACAATCTATGCCCCCCAGTTTCAAGCAATCCTCCTGCCTCAGCCCACTTGTAGCTGGGATTATAGGCACATGCCACCATGCTCGGCTAATTGTTGCATTTTTAGTAGAGACAGGGTTTCACCATGTTGGCCGGGCTGGTCTCGAACTCCTGACCTCAGGTGATCCACCTGCCTCGGCCTCCCAAATTGCTGGGATTACAAGCATGAGCCACTGCACCTGGCCAGTAATTAACTTCTAACATTCATAAGGTTTACTCATTGTAAATGTTTTTGAGAGTCCATTAAAATTCACCAACAACAAAATTTAGACTGGGCTCCAAATCTGACCCTACCTGAATCATATCTTTAACCTAGAAAGTTTATGCACTAAAAAAAAAATTCGAGGGGTGAGATGGCTCACCCCTTTAATTCCAGCACTTGGGAGGCTGAGATTGGTGGATTACTTGAGGCTAGGAGTTTGTGAACAGCCTGGGCAACATGGCAAAACCCTGTCTCTACTAAAAATGAATGAAAAAAATAAGATATATTACTGACAGTGTAATTGAATCATTTTTGCTACCAACTATGAGAATGTCTACCATTAACAGCATCAGTGACCAACTTTGCTATCAACGCTGTTTGGAACACATCAACTTTCAACCCCGACAAGCAAGCAAGCCAACTCCTATGATTGCCGAAGACTCTAAAAGAGAGAGAATTCTTGGAGGTGGGAGCTCCCTAGTGGGTAAACAAACTGAGAAACTTAATTAACTAAACTTGCAAGAATAATCAATCTCTTTACAATTTACAGTTAAAAAGAACTGGCATGTAACCCAAAATGTCAACTTATTACCAAGGAGATACTATCATTATCCCCATTGATGGAATAGCTTCCCAGTTAACAATGATATTGGTATTCATTAACCAGGA